AGCGCCAACAACTACATACTCGAGTCTTGTCACTATTAACAAGGCATTAAAAATAACAAGGTCTACTCACTGAAAACCCTTGTTCCCCTCCTGCTCAGGACTAGAGTTCTGTGAAAATCTTGTTCCAGTAACACAACATGAAAAGGTGATCTACCAGCGTTACTGGATTAAAAAGATAAAGGAAAGTTTGAACATACTGAGAGGTAAGCACATATCATCGGTAAGAGACGTTTGTGTGAGAAAATTTGCGAAAAAATCTGGTTGCGGTACAAGCACATATCGTCGATAATAGACGATTGTTGTGTATCAGAGAACGCTTGCACAAAAAGACTAGGGTGGGAAACGGATTCAAAACTCAAATGTCATTAGCCAAATACATCCGTAGACCATAGGTCCACCGTTGTATAATTGGCAATGCACCCGTGTACTGAATGGGAACTGTGGGTTCGAATCCCACCGGTGCCCTTAGATTTTTTAGCAAATTTTCTCACACACACGTCTCTTACCGATGATATGTGCTTACCTCTCAGTATGTTCAAACTTTCCTATAAACAATTAAATTGACTGCAAAGTCGCTAAACCGTAAATCTAAAGAGATAAAATTAACAAAAAGGAACGAACTCACCAAGTTTAGCCAATTGAACCTAAAGGCAGCTTGAGATGTGCTGATGGTGTTGACATTGCACACAGATACATCAACACACTACAAACACTATTTGCTTCGTTCCCTTGGCCGTGGGTAAAAGACTTCTCTTCTTCCTGCTTGATCCGGATCTATTCGCCGTTCAAGGGAGCTCCACTGCGCCGACGGGAAGTTGGAAATATCCTCGCGCTCCTCCAGCGTTAGTCCACTGCATCCTTCATGCGCAGCTGATTTGAAATTCGATTTCGTTTTGGCCGAGTGATCAGTTTCTTCGATTGAAAAAATGGCTAAAGAAAAGAGTTATACGGTCAAAAATGTTCAAGAGGCTGTTCTTTTAGCAAGAAATAAATCACTTACCGCGTATTAGGCACAGAAAAGGTACATTATTCTGAAAACGACACTTCACGCAAAAAATATGGGAAGCCACGGCAAGAAATATGGAAAGGAAATAGTGTTGAGTGTTGATTTGGAGAATCAGCTAGCGGATTGGGTTTGTTTATGCACTGCTTCTGGCTGTGCCAAGACGGCCAAAAAGATCTGGGAAGCTGCTAAATACCTTGCGTCACTAGTTGGGCGTAAATTTAACACTCCGAATACGCCGACTACGAAGCCTCCGAAAAACGTGTAACGGCAAGTTTGCAATGTCAATTGTGGTACCTTTAGAATTCCTAGGGTTTGTAGATGATTTTTAATGCAAAAAAATTGAAAATAAAGTCGTCTACAGTTTTTAAAAAAGCCAAAAGAGTTGTTACACGTTTTTTTGAAAAGTGTGTTTGTAGGGTTTTGCAAGTGGCGCAAGATCTGTAATTTAGATTAATAGGCACAAATGTTCATAATTAGCCAGAAAACAGTCATGGTTTCTATATATAGATCCTGGAGACAACGGAACGGTCCTCAAAAAATCCGGAACATCCTTAAAAGTGGTCAATCCATGAACCTGATCCTAGACCTCTGCGGATTTTTTTGATAACATCAGGAACTGGAATCACTTTTACAGATTTTCGGTATCTTCCTATGGCCATCCAGATCCATGTTTTTGTCACGACCACAAATATCACAGTTCCTAATGTTTTTGTAAAAAAAACTGCGGAGCTATAGGATCAGTTTCATTGATTGACCTCTTTTACGGATGTTCTGGACTTACCAGAGGATGGCCCCATGGCCATTTGGGTCCATGTTTATGTCATGACTCCAAATTCTTTCTTATAACGCAGTTCCACATGCTTTAAAAAAAAAAACGTAGAACTCAGGATCGAGTTTCGAGGATTGACCATTTTAAAAGATGTTCTGGATCTTGCGGATCACAATCCCATGGCCTTCTAGGTACATGTTTATTTCACGACTCCAAATTAATTTATATATGACAGTTCCAAGTGTTTTCGAAAAACCGTGGAGCTCTAGGATCAGTTCCATACATTGACCACTTTTATGGATTTTTCGGATCTTCCGGAGGACATCATGTTTATGTCACGATCCCAAATTCATTCTAATATCACAGTTAGTAACGTTTTCAAGAAAACCACGGAGCTCTAGGATCAGTTTCGTGAATTTTCCACTTTCGCAGATGTTTCGGATCTTCCGGAGGACGGTCTCATGGCCATCAAGGTCCATGTTTATGTCACGATCATTGTTCGGAAAAACTCAAAAACTCAAATCTCATGCATGAGTTTATGCGCCTATGAGTTTTGCCTTCCAAAATTTAACGTAGCAAAAATCACCGATGAGTTTTCAGGTTCAAAAATTCATTTATGTATATGTTGGCGCTTATAATTGTTATTACTACTGTTTGTGAGAGGGGTTGGAAAACTAACACAACATGCATAAGCATGCTATCGATTGACTTTAGAGAGGATTTCATGAGCTTAAAGCTGGAATGATTTTTTGGCGTTGTGGGTGTGAGTGCGTGAATATGCATGAGAATCTCAAGTGTGAATTTTGTTTGCCGCATTCGCACGCGAGTTTACTCTCACAAGGCGGCTCAATGAATGAGATTTGAGAATGATTTTCGGAACACTGGCACGATCCCAAATTCATTATATCATCTCAGTTCTTAGTGTTTTTCAAAAACTTGCTTAACTCTAGGATCAGTTTCATGGATTGACCACTTTTACGGATTTTCCGAATCTTCCAGAGGATGTCACAACCCCAAATTGCTTCTATCATCACAGTTCCTAATGTTAAAAAAATGCGGAGCTCTAGGATCAGGATCGTGGATTTACTACTTTTACGGATGTTCCTAATGTTAAAAAAAACGTGGAGCTCTAGGATCAGTTTCATGAATTGTCCACTTTTACGGATGTTCCGGATCTTCCGGAGGATGGTCTCATGGCCATCCAGGTACATGTTTATGTCACGACCCCAAATATTTTTTTTATATCACAGTTCTTAATGTTTTCAAAAAAAACCGCAGAGCTCTAGGATCAGGTTCATGGATTGACCACTTTTACGGATGTTCCGGATTTTTTGAAGACCGTTCCGTTGTCTAAAGGATCCATATATAGGAACCATGACTGTTTTCTGGCTAATTATGAACATTTGTGCCCATTAATCTAAATTACAGATCTTGCGCCGCTTGCAAAACCCTACAAACACACTTAAAAAAAAAAACGTGTAACAACTCTTTTGGCTTTTTAAAAAAGTAGACGAATCTATTTTCAATTTTTTTGCAATAAAAATAATCAAAAAACCCTAGGAATTCTAAAGGTACCACAATTTTTGAAATTCATTAAGAAATGGCTAAGTTATGACATTGCAAACTTGCCGTTACACGTTTTTCGGAGGCATCGTAATCGGAGTGTTAAAGGAGGAATTCCATCCTCAGGTTGGCTGAAAGGGTAACCACCGATTTCCGAACTACCACGAAAGCGCTCAAAGAATCTGTTAATATGAATTTACATTAAGCACTTCTCATACACCTTCTATGCGTAAATTAATTTGAAATAAAATGTTAACAAACTAAAAACTGCTAACTGAAACATATTTCTGAAAAGAAAAGAAAAAACTCATAGGAGAAAAAAGAACTATAAAACCGGAATTAAGTTCTGATATTCTGTCATTTTAAGCCCCTAAATTCCCCGGGGGCACCCAAAACATGCCCGGAAGTGGCCAATGTGGTCCAAGGCACTGCATTTTGTTATTGATCTTGTTATCGAATGATAGGTTTTATTCCTTCCATGTCAAAATTAGGTCCATGTTCCATATACCCTGGAACTTTTTCCGGCCATATCTCCGGAACCAGTTGACCGATTCCAAAAATATTCGATAGCTTTGAATGGGACCACAATACCTATAGTTTGACGTTCAAAAATTTCCAAATCGCGTCACTGTTTTTCCGAGAACATGAGCCATAAACAAAGTTTTTGAACAAATATGGGCTAAACAAGCATTTGCAAAAATAGGTCCAACCATCATCATTTTTTAGGTCTAACCAAGATCAGCATAGGTCCAACCAAAATCATAATTCTTTGCTGAATAAAAACCTTTTATAAAATCATTTGTTCATAATATTTAACTTTTTATGTTATTATTAGAAACAAGAAAGATAGATCTTTCCCCTAATCACGCATTTTTTATAATTATATGTTGAATTCATAAAACAAATACGACATGAATGTTGACGTTGTGTGAAACCGGCCTAATTAGGTCCAACCATCATCAGTTACCCTAGTCCGTTTAAATTTGGTGCACACCATACCGAAAAAAATACTCCTTTTTCTCCAACTGTCACCTTCATTCAGCCGCCCCCGACTGAAATTTCCTTTGAAATTTGAGCCGCCCATTTCGAAAGAAATATTCGAAAATCGAAATGCCACAGCCATGTTTCGCTGTATTGGTTTGTTTTCCACTCACCGCACGTCATTTTCTGCAACCAACAAGCGACCGACGGTGTTCCTGATTTCACACGAATGCAAACAACCTGGGCTCTCTCAGTAGCGCTGCCTTCTGATAAGGAGCAGCTGATTGCCATGCGCACGCGTCACTCACTCTCTCGCTCTCCCACGACGGGCAGCATGTTTGTGCACTCATTTTCCAACAACCCTCTCTCGCACCCAATCTCGGAGGAACCGTTTTTCCGCGTGTGTGGAAATGCAAGTTGACGTTTGGTTGGGTTCTTGTGGGGGATAAATTAATGGCGGTCACTGCTGTTGGCGAACTGTGAGCGAAGGAGAGGATTTTTTTTGTTGGTATCTCACCAGAGCACACAGAGAGCAGGTTGTTGTACGACGATGATGTTAATGATGATAATGATGACGTTGGTGGTGGTGGTGGTGGAAAATTTGCTCTCTCCGGTATACACTAGCTCGCGGAAAACCCGTCTGTGTGTCTGTCGTTCTGTTTTGCGGATTAGAGCAGCAAATTTTGCTCGGTCGTCTCGAGTTGCATCCACATCCAGAAGCCCTGTGATAATTAACGGTGTTCGCGGTCGGATCGAAGTGAATTGTCTTGTGCGTGGAGTTACTGTGCGTGCGGATTTATCTGCCCGTCGGACCGGGTTCGGAAGTTTTCCATCTGCGGAGTATCCTTGCCCTAGAAAGTCGAAGCAAACCGTTCCAATTGGTGGAAGAGTTTTTTTTCCTTCCCGTATCGCCTACTAGGTTGTCAAGCCAAGCAGGCAAGGGGTGCCCCAACAGGAGCACCACACACGGAGGAAATCTGCTCGCAGTGACACAGTGTGTTGTGAATTTTGAACTAGTGTTGGTGAAAATCCGGAGTTGCTACGTGAAAGGACCTTCCTGGGGCTCCAGAAGACCCGTGAGTGAGTGATCCAGCGTATGTAAACCAATAATAATAAGAAGAAATGTGCTTATCAGTGCTTCTGTTATCATCCTTCCGGTGGTGTCCATCCTCGTTCGTTGCGAAAGCTGTTGCTACCTATGCGAGAGTACATTGTGTAGGCAATCGAGCGTATCTACGTCATAGCTGTATACGATAAACACATGCCTAGACTACAGCTTGTCTAGCGAGTCCCGGGGAAGGGGCAACTCTTGTCAACCCCATTTGTCCCCGTGGCTCCAACCGTCATCATCGAGTGAACCGCGAGATAGACAAGTGCGTAAACACCAATACAGTGGTGTCAGGTGTTGCCAACACGCAGACACCTTGAAGCAAACCAAAACACACGGATTTTCGGGGTCGCCGTAACAATTGCTCATCGCGGGGCCAACCTGGAAGTGCATGTTTTGATGCTGCTTTTTGACGTTTGCCACTGCCTTGGAAACCACTGCAGCTAATTGTCATAATTGTTACGAAACGTCGGCTCTTCCGGGGAGGGATTTGACCTCGAACCTTTTGCAGGCGACAATCGGATTTGGCTATAAATAGCCAAGAATTTACATATGGACAGAAGAATGTGACCAGCTAAGCAACTGCCAATCAACCGCGGGAATGGGATACATAACTTTGCGGACAATCTGCCTTGCTCTAGGAAACAGAAGTGGCAGCAGCCAGTCGCCGTCATCATCATCATCGTCGTCGACGGTTGTGTGAGTGAGTGAGTGAATGGGGAAATCAGTTTTCATACGGTTGGATTTTCCGCTGCGGTTAGGTTGGTAGCGCCGATGATTGTATGAGAATATTCAGTGTATTCACTCACCTATACACCGACAGGGGCAGGTTTTCCACGGGATGTGTATTGGATTCTTGTTCGACGCCGTCGTCTAGAGGGGATTTGCAAATACAAGCGGCGCATGAAGGGTGTATTGGTTTGTATTTATGTTTACAAATTTTGACAATTTGGAAAACTTGTTTTCTCGTCGTTTCTTGCTTCTGTCTGGTTGAGGGATTTTGGCATGGCTGTCGAATGCGTATTCGGGATTTGGATTCGGTGAAATTCTTGGTCTATTTTTGATAATGTTCTTATGGTAATCTGATACGATGAGGTGCAAAATTGGAGATCGTTGGTGCAGCTTTTATGGTTTAAGATCGCTGGAACATTCTAGACCGATGATTAAGCAATAAGCTGATGTGAAGTCAAGATCCCTCTACATTGCGTTTTGTTGTTGTTGTGGCTATTGTTGAATTATGGGGGGGCAATGCATTGTGTTGCAAATATTACTTAGGATAAGTGTCCCACATTTTGAAATTTGCAAAACTAGCATCGCATTATAAACCTGGCAACGTCTTTACAATTGAAAGGAATAGGATGAAACGTTATTTCAACCATTTTTAGGGTTTTTATCTAATTTATGTCCTACTTAGCACAACCCGCACTTTACTTCTTTTTTTTTGAACGGGTTTGAACAAAACATGGAATATTTCTGTCAAAGATCACTTCTACATTTATTCACCTTTCCATACGTGCCGTTGGATTTGATAAAGAGACACACATTTTTGAGATATTGTTAAAAATCTAACACTGCTTCTTGATTCCAAATTCGCCCTACAAGTTTCAATTCCGTTCAAACGCATTGAAACGCTATTGGATTTTCTTCGTCCTACGGATAAACGTAAAAAAAAATGGGATTCGCTAGGAGCACTTCTTTTGTTTTGAAAACAATGAGCGTAAATATTCATGTAATGTGCTCTAATAGGATTTATGTTGTAGCTAATGAAACCTTTTATTGATTTGTGCAAGGTGAAATCATTGATATTATTGATCTTTTCTGATCGATTACGACGAAGTAGCGCTCTACTTTAATTAAACTTAGTAATTTGTATCGATGACCGATACTTATTTCGACTACAATGTGCAGTCATTCCCACTAAGGCCGGAACAAAACACAAGTTGTTCTTTTGTCACTGGATGCTCACATCAGTCAAGGGGGAGGTGGGGAATAAAAAATAAACAAAAAAAAAGGTAAAACATTCAAAATTCCTTTTACATCACATCGAAACCGTATAATTCAAACGTTTAAGTTACTTCTTAGGCTGCGCTTTAGCCTTATATTTCTTTGACACTAATGCGCATAAGTTGTTGTATGCTTTGAAGGAAGAACATTGGTAATAATGTAGATGATCTTAGCTTTGATCTTAGCAACTGATATTTGGGTTTTGATAAATTCCGAGTAAGCCATCAATCGGAATACCACAAACGTAATAGTTCTTATCAAAAAAAAGTTCTGTTTTCAAATATAACATGGCAGAACAGGAAACAAAAATTGATATGAAAATCTTTACCTTTTTTGTGAACTTAAACCCAGTTTTCTCAACAATTGCGTGCTTCATTTTTTTTACTAAGACGTATCGACTCAGGACAGCTGTTTCTCTGATACCGCCCATTGGATTCTGCACAACTTCTTAACTTTTCGTTGTGCTGCAGACCAAATTTTCTTGACGCAGTCAACAGAGCTCTTCCATCTTTCTTAAGGTGCCGTTATATTTTGCCCAGCATCTTTCGATAGGGCGCAGTTCAGGGCAGTTTGGGGGATTTTGGAATTTTTCGACAAAATCGACTTTTTCCTTCTTGAGCATTCCCAACGTAGCAGAAGCATAGTGAGCAGATGTCAGATCCAGCCAAAACAATGGAGGATCCGTATGCTTTCGGTAGATGGGTAGAAGTCGTTTTGTGATGCATTCTTTTCTGTCATTTTCACCATTGATTGTGCCCGTTGGGAAATACGAAGCACTTTTCAAGCCACAGCACAGTGGCCGGAAGTCGGACAAAACCTCAAAAATTGACTTCATTATTTTATTTTTCTTATATTTTTCTCTCGATATAGATACTTCAACTAAGAAAATCCCAAATTTTCAAGTCATTTGGTCAAAAATTGAGTCTTGGGGATTTTTTCAAAGTTTGTGTGATAGTTTTTCAATTTTTATTCTCTTTATTTTATGAGCTTTCTTCATGAGCTCGTTGTAAAACATTGGAAAATTTGGATAATCTGACAATACTGTAGGTGTGTTTGGGCATAAATAACCAAAACATTTAAAGGTTTGTTTGAAATCCATTCGCAAAATTATAGTGTTTTTCCAGCGTGCAAAAATATTGATTTATATGCAATTTTGGAGAAATACTTAGTATTAAGGAGAGCCAGTACTTTTACAGGAAACATCAGAAAACGATGCCATATCCCGGATCTGACGCGAAATTTTGTCTAGTTTTTGGGTATATAGACCACTATTTTCGTATTTTTGCGCAAAGCGCGAAATTTTTTTTTTATCAAGTCACTATGGAAACGCATGGTTGAGGAGGAAGCAAAATATTTTGAAGATTGTATTTTATCTTAACATCAACGAATCAAAAATATCTCCAAATGACAAAATAACAAGCGATCAACGAACCGAATAATAACGCTATGTCAGAAGTGGAAAGCAATAATGATAAAATCTTCTTCGTTCTTTTTCATGACAAGCAGCCCGTGCGACACAACTCACTCGGGGCGGTAGAAGGAAATTGTTGGCAAGCTGCTTCACGAAGTAAATCCGAAGATGATACACGTGTGTTAATGGGATTTTTTTTTTGTTATGTCTTTTCTCGATTCATATCAAGCTTTGTCCTCATCCGTGTATATTGCAACAAAGCAGGCAAGCAATATATCATTATCCTTCTACCACTCGGATCGAGCTATGTTACATAGCAAGTTTGTCATGGTAGTCGTAGCAACCGTTTTGTCTGTATCGTTGGTTGCTTTATGTGTGTGGATTCGCTGCTTAACATAAATAAAATTACCATCTGAATACTGACTATTTAGTGTAATCCTTATTCTGGTAGGTAAATGGCCGTCAATAAACCACGTGGTCTTAGGGGGGAGGGAAGGTGGGAGGGGCAGAGGGGGAGGGGGTCATGACCACGGCCCTAACAAATTTTAGAATTTTCCTACGGACAAAAGACCACAAGGAGGTGAGTGTTACATATTAGGTAAAAAAAAACAGTAAGGTTGAGAGGAGGAGAGTGATGACTAAATAAGAATGATTTAGCCTTTATTTGTTAAGACATTTATTTTTGGAGAGGTTTTATTCCAGAAAAAAGTGATTTGAGAGTTTTGATAAACAGTCTGAGTAGCGTTTAAACAATCAATTACCTAATCAATTTAAGACACCAAAAAATTATTTAAATTTAACTTTTATTTCTATAAACAAACATTTATTAAACAAACTAACATTTATTCATCGCAATCTTCAACTATCAACAAATCTTGCACCTCTTTAGGCAATTCATCTGCCACTACCGTTTGCCCATGGCGATGACTTGAAACAATGGGATCGGATGCAACAAGCAATCCACAACATATATCTTTCATTGTTTGCTTGCATGAACCTTTCCACGCGTGATGCTCTCTTAGCTGCCTAATTTCTTTATTCATTGCTTCCTGGGCTTCTTCGGACATACGACCAATGGGAAGCAATGTGTTATTTATTATTTGATACCGATGGACAAGCAACTTATGGAGCGTTGTAGGCATATTATACCATCCATATAAAGAAGCATAGCGTTTGTAAAACATATGTGAAGGCCGACTTCAAACAGATCCCCGGCAACCTGTTTTTCACGGCCAAGGATAAGTTCAGCGTTTCGGAGTATGTCCGCACTCAGAAGATGTCCAAATTTGCGAAGAAATTCCTGGTTTGGCAAGCCATCTGCACGTGCGGGAAGCGGAGTGCACCTTTCGTGACCCAGGACACGATGAACGGACAGGTGTACATAAAAGAGTGCCTCCAGAAGCGGCTGCTTCCTCTCCTGAAGGCCCACAACGTCCCAACAATCTTCTGGCCGGATTTGGCCTCATGCCACTACTCCAAGGACGTGCTGAAGTGGTATGCGGACAATAAGGTCAATTTCGTGCCGAAAATGTTCAACCCTCCCAACACTCCGGAGCT